ATTAAGGGGTATTGGGCTGTCTGGGAGGTTTTATCAGGAGGTCGGAATCCCCTGATGTTCTCAGAGCCCTGGTTGTTGGGCCAGCCGGAGCTACAAAGCTTGCCCTAATCAGCCGCAAGTCTCTTAGACCCAGAATATCATTATAGGGGCCTTATACTGACGAAAATAGTAGTTTTTCTTTTGAGGGGGGGGGGGGTGTATTTTGCTACACTTACGCTAAAGAGCCCCCCCCCCCCAAAAAAAAAATAGTGTTGGTAGTTTTTTTTAGGCCCCATGTTACCCCGACGTGCGAAACTCCCCATGGGTAACCATTGTACATGCAGCAACCTGAGGTAGGAATGGGTTTAAGGTTTGAGGGAGTGTCCTTATGGTAACAGATAATCTGATACTAGCATGATAGGCCTTACATGTCCTTGCGATGGCGCTAAAGGCCCTAAAAGCCTCCAGGCCCTAAAGGCCCTAATATAGGGTCCTTAAATAATAATTGCTTTGGGGTTTAGGTTTTTTTTTCAGAGTTCCCTCTTTCTTGTGCGTCCGCGCAGTTTCCCTTCTGTCGACCCCGGGTTCGAGTAGACCCATCGTTGAAAACGAGCTTGGCCGTAGCGGAACCTGAGGACCTAACCGTGCTAACCACTCCGAACTGACGTATAAGTACCTGCAATTTTGCGGTTTAGGGTTTAAGGTTGAGAGGGCTCTGCTGTTGAGGTGTGTTCGCTGGCACACAATCCAAGCCCATTCTGAAAAGGGTTTAGGGTTTTCTTCAGAGAGACCTCGTTCAAAAGGTTTTGGGGGTTTTAAGGTTTAGGGTCTAGGGCTTAAGGTTTAGGGTCTAGAGTTTGGAGCTTCGGGTTAATGGGGTTAATAGGGTTTCGCAACTGCGATGCGGAAGGCATTCTGCGTTCCGTGTGCCGCAGCAGACGGGCGAAGTGCCGGTTGGGCTGCAACGAAGGAAGCCTTGTACTACACCCCTCCTACATCCTGAACCCTAAAACCCCAAACCCCCAATACCCACACCCAAAAGCCTCCCCTTAAGAGTGAATGAGCCCTTTCGCCTTGAATGGTAGCACCCTTAAGAAGATCTCAGCTTCAGGTACATCACGTGAATCGTTACCCGCCCTTGGTCGCACCGCCCGGGGGTCGAAAGATGGCGAATGGACTGACGGAGGCCAAATCTCGCATCGGTTCTGGCTAAACTAGGGGCCTTAGTATAATTATAGTATAAGGTACCCAAAACCCCAATCTAATTATTAAGGCTCCTACATTAGGGGCCTTAGTATAATTATAGTATAAGATACCCAAAACCCCAATCTAATCATAAAGGCTCCTACATTAGCTCTACCAGCCTAAGGTTCCTGATACGGCTGCCCATTACCAAAACAGGGAGCCCTTTTGATTTTTAGGTTGCTGGCGATTGGTTTAGGGTTTAGGGTTTAGGGTTTAGGCGATCCTAGCTAGACTGCCATAGACTGCCGTGATATGGGTTTCACTATAGGGTTCTGCTGCTGTCGTACGGACTTCTGTGCTTTTACAGGGTTTCAGAAACTTCCTCGTTGCTATAAAAGTTTCATATGGATGTGTCTGAAAACTACGATCCCCCTACCTCTTTGGAGTGTCCCGCATGTTCGGAAACTCTCACTTTCGGCTCCATGCGGAATGACAAAGTCTCCCTCCGGCACTTTCTATACGTGCCCAGCAACAGCCCACACACTATATATATATATATATACACATACATACATACATACATACATACATACATACATACATACATACATACATATATACATATGTATATATGTAATATGCGGGTGTGTATATGTATACATATACACACACGCATACGGCATAGGTGCAAGTATTCTAACAAAGGGTTGGCTTGCAACACAGGCTCCTTTCAGATGAAAACGCCGTAAGCCCTGGAGAGGCCTTAAAACCCCATCACCAAGACCCGCAAGAAGTCTCGTATAGGGTTTAGGGTTTAGGGTTTAGGGTTTAGGGTTTAGGGTTTAGGGTTTGGGGTTTAACAATGAAGCCTTTTGAATAGTATGTGCTGATCGGCGACGTTGCCATACAATCTTTCGATCCTCCACTCATTAACCCCTATACCCCTCATTGCACCCGTAGTTTCCGGACCCCTTACCCCTAAACCCCTAAACCCCCAAACCCTAAATCCTAAAACCCTGAAAACTTAAACCCTAAATCCTTAAGCCCTAAACCCTAAACCCTTAAACCCTAAAGTCTAAGCCTGCAGCAGCAGGTGGATTTCGGCCGCTTCGACCCAGGGTCGTTCCAGACGCCCTTTGGCCCACAGTCCCAGGCACGATCCAGAGTCCGACCCTGCCAGCAACCGTTTATACTTTTATAGGGTTTAGGTTTCAGGGTTCTGTGTTTAGTATACCTGTAGCCGAAAATACCTACGTTTTTATGGTTCCTTATTATGGTTTCTATTTATATATATTTATATACACATACATTTATATATAGAGAGATAGGTCCTTTAAAAGGTAGGTCTTGTCGGTTGCAGGTAGGGCATAGGGTTGTTACGTTCATTTTGTTTAACGGGATGTGGGGCTGCTGTGCGAGCTATGCAGCTGTGGTTCATATCATGGCCCCGCTTGATAGGGTTTAGGGTTTAGAGTTTAGGACACACGGGCAGCTTGGAGGCACTTCAGAGAGACCTCGTTCAAAAAGGACCCACAATTGACCACATCATGCGCACAGTAAGGACCTGGCGGATGTCAAGTTTGTGGCATGCCTAGTTACTATGAGGATGCCTTTTATGACCCCTACAAAATCCAGACCATACTTTACCCCAAGAGGCCCCGAATATCAAAATACATTAAAATGCATCAGAATGACCCTATACCAAAACCTCCCCCATATGAAAGTCTTTACAACTTCTAAATTGTTTCTAAACACCAACTTTACTGCCCCTGGCCCTAAACCCTAAACCTTTATAAATCTTTTCGGATGCTGCCATGCGGGAGCCAAAATAAACACTAAATCCTAAGCCCAATCTCCGAAAGCTCCCCAGAGAACCGGATACCCCTTAACTGAGGAATAGACCTTAATATCATAATATTAAGGCCCCTATAATTTAAGGTGAATTCCTTACTTAAGGGGTATTGGGTTCTCTGAGTTTTGGGGGGTTCCTTTAAAGGGCCCCTTAAAGGGTTCTATAAGGGCTACTATCAGGGTTTAGGGTTTAGGGGCTGAAATAGCTACCTTTTGGGCTTTCGGTCTTTGGGGTCGTCTCCTGCAGGCCGTCTATGGCCCCGGCTGGGCTGGCATCGGCCCCAAGGACCTGCAAGGCCCCTTACGTCAGGATTTTAGGGTTTAGGGGGTTTTAGGGTTTAGGGTTTAGGGGGTTTTAGCATGAAAGTTTGTGTAAGTGTATCTATCGATGTCTTTTTCTACAACAGACGCCATCATGACAATCTTCGCCTTAGAAAGATTCGCACTCTCCGAAATGATTTTGCTGCGTTTCACGCATATACTTCTTCTTTTTTGTAACTTGTAGGACCTGGATGTTTACCATGAGTATGACCACTACAAGATTCAGTCTTTAAGCCTTTATGACCAGTGCGAAGCTGAAAGCGAAATCGAATGCTCCCCGATAGCCCTGCATTGCGGATCCCATCATAGCAATGTGAGGAAAATCTTGGAGTTCGCTAGACGGTACCTGGACCCCCAAAGCATGTAGAACAAAGCTATTTCGTGTCGTGCCTTCTTGTGGTCCTTTGCGGGTTCAGGTGGGCGCTAAGCCCTACGTACAACGCCGCACAGCCTATAAGCATTTATGAGCTCTAAACCCAAGGCCCTAAACCCTAAACCGTGGCTTTTTATACAGATGGAACCCTAAACCCTAAACCCTAAGCCCTAAGCCCCATGGAAAGCCGCGAACCCTAAAGCCGCAAAGCCCTGCCTTGTGGAGCCGGCGCTAGGTTTACCGGCTCAGAGGTTCAGGGGGATTCACGGCGCCCTGACCCTTGTTCGGGTTTTAGGGTTTAGGGTTTAGGGACATAGGTTTCTTCTACTCGAGACATATACACCCTGGCTAAGAACTTCTGGAGGCTTTCAACCCTAAACCCTAAGCCCTTAAACCCTAAACCCCTAAACCCCTAAACCCCAAACCACATGGCAGGTTCGGAGAGGATAGCTGTCGAGCTTGTGTCTCGGGCTCCCCGTCTCGACGGGGCTTTGGGTTTATGTTTGAGGGTTTAGGGGCTCGGCTTCGGCTTTCTCATGCACGGGTGTGTGATGCTTTCGATGTGCTTTGGCGACGTAAAGGCTTCCAAAGGCTAGCAAGGACTGCATAGGTTCATAGGTTTCAGAATGATTCGGACAGGGTGCTTCTAGTTTTCAATGTGAGGCTGTTTTCTTAAAACAGAGGTCCCATATTTCGGCTTTTGTGCCAAGGGCCCTGTTACGAGCTATTTGGGCCCCTTAAACTTTCCGAATCTTCCAGTAACTTGTCGCGGTTGAACTTTTTAGATTTTGGAAATAGAAATATTTATTGTCGTCTCTGTCAAAAATAAATAGTGGTGGAACTGTTTGGGGGGGGGGGGTGGGCTTGAGCAAGCAATTCTACAAGTACCCGTTGTCAGAAGCCTGCACTTTCAAGTTTGGGCAACTCCACAAACCCTAAGCCCGGAATTAAGCCTGGCATGTCCGAGACTGAGCGCCCACACCCCAAAACCATGCACCTGCAAGTTTGGGCGTTTGCGAAATGTAGAACCTTCAATCCTAAACCTAAAACCGACCCGGAACTCGCACCCTACACCTAAAGGAAAGCCGGCAGTCTGAACCACACGCCAAAACCAACATCCTTGTTCAAGCCCCAAACCCTAAACCCCAGGCCCTAGACATTTAATCCCTGAGGGGACAAGTTTAGGGGCTTTAGGGTTAGTGGTGTCCGAGGGTTTTGGGGGCTCGAGGTTGTTTAGGATGTGGGCTTTAGGGTTTAGGGGTTTAGGGTTTTGGGTTTAGGGTTTGGGGTTTTGGGGTTTTGGAGTTTGGGGTTCAAGGTTTAGGGATTTAAAGGCTAAAGGTCCAAGCCCACAACTAAACCCTAAGCCCTAAACCCTAAACCCTAAACCCGAAGTAGACTGATTCTGGGGGGCCGTGGGGACTTCCAATGTGGCACCTTTGGGGTTTAGGTTTTGGGGTTTCCGGGCGAGAGAAGCCTGCTGCAAAAGGTTTTGGGGTTTGGGGTAAGGGTTTTGAGTTCAGGGTTTAGGGTTTAGGGTTTAGGGCTTTTGGCTTGGCGTTTAGGGTTTGGGTTTAGGGCCAGGCTTTTGAGGTATAGGTTTGCAGAGTTTTAGACTAGCTGAGTGGACCCCGGAGTAGTGTGGTCCTGCTAGAGACAGGATTCTGAGCATGGCCGGCACATCCGGGTTGGTGTAGCATAGACGTCTGAGCAGTTTTACCAAAAGTTTCGGCATACCGTCCCTTTGATCTTCGAACTGAACCCAAAACTCTTAACCCGCCCTGACTTAACCCGTTTAACGATCCATACAAGCCTTTATGATGCCGGCATAGATCCGTAAATCCTGTAGGGGCCTAAATAGTTACCAATACTATTGTGGGGGCTCCTGATTATACATATAGTATAATGGGCCCCCAAAACCCTATTCCCTAAACCCTAAAAACTAAATCCTAAACCTAAACCCCATGTTACAACTCTAAACCTGGAACCCTAAACCAAGAAGCCCTCACCAACATTCCGCAGATGGCGGCAACAACGTGCAAGCTTTAAGCCGGAGTCTGTGATTCTGAAGCTTCTAAAACGGTTTAGGGTTTAGGG